ACTCAGGGAGGGTCCCCTGACACACACACACCCTTGGAGTGGTTAGATACTTCAGGGAGGGTCACCTGAGACACACAACACCCTTGGAGTGGTTAGATACTTAGGTGAGGGTCTCCCCCCCCATACCCTTGGAGTGGTTAGATATTCAGGTGAGGGTCCCCTGACACACACATACCTCCTTGGAGTGGTTAGCTACTCAAGGAGGGTTCCATCACACACACACACACACACACACACACACACACACACACACACACACCCCTTTGACCCACCTAGTCAACTAGTCAAATCATCAACAAACCCTGTTGTGAGTCTCTCTTGTGAGCAGAAGTCCTGAAGATGGCAACAGTTTGATTTGGAAGAGAGCCTGTGTCAGCATCCGGTGAGTAATTCTCTGCCATCACTTCTCTTCTGTAGTATTTTCACAGTCTCTCCCATCTCCTTGAATACACCCAGTATGCATCTTCCCACTCGATTGAAACAGGCGTTGCCCATATCATGGAGGAGTGGTTTCCACGTGGTGGACCCTCATCGTACTTGGCTTACCTACAGTTTTTGACACACCCAATGACTCCTTCCTCAGCACACTTTCTTCAGTTGGCTGTCAGGATGGTACAGTCTTCTCTCTGCTTCCCCAGTGTGAAGCACTTCCCCTGGAAGAAGCTGTCTGCCAAGGATGTCTGATTAAAACTTCAATGACTGGAAAATTTGGGATGCTGCAGGTCTGGAGCCTAATTTGTTTCTCTTGGACTTTCCTCAGTGCCCTAAAGAGCTCCTCATTACCCACCTCTGTGGTGGTAACATCCTGATAGCAAATGTCTTAATTTGCTTTCTATTGCAGTGATAAAGCACCCTGGAGAGAAAGAATGGCCAGGGTAGGAACTTAGAGCAGAAACCATGGAGGAAAGACGCCTACTGGCTTATTCAGCTACCTTATACAACCCAGGACCACCTGCCCTGGTGGTCACCCACAGTGAGCTGGGCCCCTCCCACACTAATCATTAATGAAAATCTCCTGCCCCCACTTCCCTACAGCCCAATCTGAAGGAGGCAATTCCTCAATTGAGTTCTCTCTTCCCAGATGGCTCTAGCTTGTCAGATTGACAAACCAACAAAACAACAACAAAAACTAACCACATAGATTGAAAAGTTTGGAATGTAGTAACTATTCTCTACCAACCCAAGGGTTAAAGCAGCATCTAAGGCCTGTAGGGGAGCCTCCTCTGCCTGACTGTAACCTACCTGTCTGATATTTCCACCCAAGTATTTTTTTTTCCCCACCAATGTATTTCTAAGATGCCTTGGTCTAAAACTTTGTTTTATTACCATAAAAACTTTGCAACTTTATGAAATTGCTCACATACTGGAACAGGAATTTGAGATAACCTAAATCCATGTCTCCAAGCATGGTCACTCAGTTTGACTCTGGAATAATCTTGAGGTGAAAGCTGTGTTTTTATGCCTGCACTGACCACCCCTTTTCAAATGTATCTTGACCTCAAGTATAGCAGAGCCTCAGAGATCAGTCGGCAGGCCTGCGCACACAGCTCTGGGAGAGCACCTCCAGTTTCATTGCTTTAAAGACTGTGGGTTCCCACGTGTGTACCTAGCTGATAAATTCCTTAAATTCTGCAGTTCTTGGGACCCTGCTTTTTGCTAGCCAACATCACCTTGATTGTCTTAGCAGACTTCTCAAAGATAGCATGAAGTGAGCCAAATGCTAGTCCCCCCTCCCGCTCCCCATCCCTACCCCAAAGTGTTCCTTCTAGATCCTAACAAATGGAGTCTCTGTCCTTGAATTGCTTAGGCCAATATACCTTTGCAACTTCGAACTCCAGCTGCTTCAGATTCATCATCAAATCCTGCTAACCCTGATCTTTGATCTGGTCAAACACACCTGTTGCCCCTATTGTTCCAGCACCCTGGGAGGGCCAAATCCACCTTCATCTCTTACACTTGATTGCACACATACCACAACCCTTTTCAAACAAGCCTTAGCACACCTCAGCTCATAGCCTCCAGGGACTTTTCCTTAGAGCAGTATCCTAGTGACTTTGTTCTGACCTGTCAGTCTTTCACTTTCTCTGTTTTAGTCCTGCTAGTTAATTTCCAGTTCCTAGAACTTGTTTGCACGATCCTATCCCAGGTTTATTAAAGACCTACCGGTGCCTGGGGTGTTCCTCCTAGTAGTCAGTCTCACTCTGCACTTTATCTGACAAGCATGGGCTTAATGGACAGCTTTCTTTATTATCCTGTATGTCAGTCCCAGCTCTATCCCTTTAAACCTTTTTCTTCCTGACACTTTTCAACACTCAGCATCCCTGTTTCTGTAACTGCCATTTTTTTTCATAATAATGCAATTCTGCAAGGGTAAGTGTTCCCATTTTTCTATGTGCCTAGCACTCGGAAGAATGGCCCTTTGGTTGGTTATATCAGAGTAAAAACTGCCCCAACCCCCAGGCATCCATTGACCACATTTTTACTATGTGCTGTAATTCCAATACCACTTTCTTTTCTAAAGCTCTTAAAATAATTGCATCAGGACAGAGATGGATGCCTTTAATCCTAGCACACAAGAGGCAGAGGCAGAGGCAGGCGGATCTCTGATTCCAAGGCCAGCCTGGTCTACAAAGAGAGTTCCAGGACAGCCAGGGCTACACAGTAAAACCCTGTCTCAAAACAAAACACTATTACATTATTTGTGTGTTTGCGTGTTTGCGTGTGTGTGTGTGTGTGTGTGTGTGTGTGCATTCTTTCTAGCACATATGCATGGCACATGTGTGATCTGAATAAGCTTTCAGAAGTCAGTTCTCCCCTCCACTAGATAGGTTCCAGGGACAGGTGATTTCATGGCCATTCAATATGAAGCAGCCAGCTCAGGCTATATTACCTTACCTACACCTGGCCACCTCTTGTTACTGAAACCCAGATTTCCCTTCAGCTTGTGTGATGGTTATTCTTGGTCTTCAACTTGACTCCATCTGGAATTAACTAAAATTCAAATTCAAGTGGCTGGGCTCACCTGTGAGGGTTTTTTGTTTTGTTTTGTTTTGTTTTGTTTTGTTTTGTTTTTCCTTAAATCATTTGACATGGGAAGAGGCACTGTTTTTGTTTTTTTTTCTTTTTCCTTTTGAGACAGGTTGTCTCTTTGTAGCCCTAGCTCTCCTGGAACTCAGAGATCTGCCTGCCTCTGCCTCCTGAGTGCTGGGACTAAAGGTGTGCGCCACCACCTGGCTGGACAGATGCACTCAGATCTTGGACGTGGGAAGATTCACCTTTAATCTGGCAACCTAGAAAAAGGACATGGAAGCTGGAAGCTTGCTGTCTTTGCCTGCCTGCCTTCACTCTCACTGGCAAATTCATTCCTTCACTGGCATTAGAGCTGACTTCTTTGGGACTCAGGCATATAAAGACCACTTCAGAAATCCAGCCTCGTGGATCAAATAACTACTAGATTCTCGGTCCTTCTGTTGTTAGACAGTTATTGTTAGACTAGCTGGACCACATTCTAAACACCATTCTAATAAATCCCCTTTGTCTACCTATCTAGATTTATTTTTTAAGTTCTGTTCCTCCGGAAAGCCCTAAGTATATCAACATGGATACCTGTACTGGTATCAGTGAAGTGGGTTTATTTGTTGAATTTTAAAGCATTCAATACTAAGTCAGGTCTGCAGATTCTCTGGCCACATAGCTTTGCATATTTTCATGCCATTTTCCACAAGAGGGTGCACTATTGTGATATCCTTGAATTGCACCCACATGGGAAGGGGATACACCTAAAGATTTGTTTGTTTCTAGAGACAGGGCTTCTTGTTGCCCACGATAGCCTCAAACTCACTATATAGCTCAGGAAGACCTTGAGTTTCTGACTCTCCTGTCTCAGTGTCCTCAATGCTGAGATGACAGTCATAGCATTGCTAACATACCCAGCTTGCATTTCAAGAATTTAAATGGGGGTGGGGGTAGAAGATGGCTCAACATTTAAGAACCCTTGCTGTTCTAGCAGAGGGTTCAAAAGGGATTCAATTCTGGGCACCTACATCAGGTGTCTTACAACCAGATGCCCAAAACTCCAGGAGCTGTGACTCCATCTTCTAGTTTCCATAGGTAGCCACACTCACGGTCCATACACCCCCTAAATAAAAATTAATTTTATGCCAAAATTGATATACCAAAATGAGGAACTGAGAATGTAGGTCAAGGGAAGGATCCTTGCTTCACATGTGTGAGATTATTCTTTAGCTACCCCCACACACACACACACACACACACACACACACACACACACAGTGTTAAAATTATTGTCTATAAATAATAATGCCTACAACTTTATCCCTAATATCATGGGATCCAAATATTTTCTTAGAATGAATGTAATCATCAGGGCTGGAGAGATAGTTTAGTAGCTAAAAAGCACTTTCTGCTCTTGTAAAGGACCCGAGTTTGGTTCCCAGCACCCACTTCCAGTGGCCCACAACCACCTGTATCTCCAACTCTGGGTGATCGAAGGCCCTTTTCTGGCCTCTGTAGACACTGGCACTCAGGCAGACACACACACAGTGCACCTAATTAAAAATAAAGCATCTTTAAAAATAAAAAAGGAATGCCATTGATTTCAAGGTATTTGTATAGATGACACTTTTGGTAGAAGGCGACGGCTTTTTTTGTTTTGTTTTGGCACTTAGGATTTATTCTATGTATATGGATGTTTTGCCTGCATGTATGTCTGTGCACTATGTGCCTGTGGTGCCTGCAGAAGACAGAAGAGGGCACAGATCCTTTGGAGCTGAAGTTAGAAACAGCCATTAGTTTCTATGCAGGTGTCTGGGCTGGAAGCTGAATCCAGGATCTGAGCAAGAACAAGGGCTCTTACCTGCTGAGCCTACGCTCCAGCTCAGCAGCGGGCTATTGTTTTGAAGTATTGGAGGGCTTATTAAGCTTGCACCACCATGCCCTGGTGTGTTCATTTATTTCTGCAAAAAAATGAAACAGAAGAATGAGACCAAGATCTGTTTTAATATTCATTTCCCAGGACCTGTGTGTGCTGTGTACAAGATAGAAAAGAGCTGGAGAGAAATGCCCCTGGGAGGCACGCCAGTTACTGCACAGTAATTGAAACCAGAATGTATCATAAACAGGCTTTAGCTTGCTAACTGCTAAAGCAAGTCAGTCCCTTAGCCATTGTTTTCTCTAAGCAATTCCCCTAAGCCCTAAACTACAGAGAGTTAATTAAAAGAAACAAATCTTCGGAGAGGTGAATGTCATGTAGCCAGGGCTAGCCCTAAGAAAAGGATTATATTGCCTCGATGACCTAAAGGAATAGCTTCCAGCTTCCATACCCCCTCCCTACCCCTGCTTCATATCCCAAATGACCTGTGGCACCTAATCTGATTTTGGACGTCATATTGTTGTCACAGCTGTACACTTGGTGATAGAACTATCCACAAATGTATGAAGTGAGCCTACTTCTTTTCCTATCCTTGTGGAATAAGGGAAACAAAACAAAACAAAGTCAGGTAAGCTGGAAAAATAATAACTAGGTTTAACTACGTGTTAGGGGGAAAAAACCCTTATTTTCTAGCTTTGATCTGGCTGTCAACTGGAATGGACTTGCCCAAGTGATGGCCCACAGAAAGGCCAAATTTGTTCTTTCTCTGCTCCTCTTGGACCTCTTTTTTCAGTAAGAACCCTGCCTGAAAGTTTAGGTCAAATAGGCTGCTTGGTGCAAAATAGAGCGGTGTCTCATCCCAGATAGTTTCCAGGCGCTTCTTCCACCCTTCCAGGATCTGAGTCCGGGCTTCTGGTGGGGTGTGGCCAATGCTGTACACCAGCTGTGGTTCCAAGACCTGGAAGCCACAGAAATGCAGAATGCCACTCTGAAAGAGACAAAGAACACAAAGCTAAGTCTCAGGAGCAGTCTGGCAGGCTACTGTAAATGAGCATCAGAAGTTGGTCTTGGGGCTGGAGAGCTGGCTCAACCATTAAGATTTGCTGCTCTTTCAGAGAACCCAAATTTGGTTCCCAGCACACAGGTGGAATGACTTGAAGCCACCTGTCACTCCAGCTCTAAGGGATTAGATGACCTTTTCTGACCACTGTGGGCACCTACATAAATGTAGCACATTTATATAAACACAAACACACACACATACACACACAGAGCAATAAAATATATAAATAGAAATCTTAAAAAAAAAAAAAAGCCAGGTAGTGGTGGTGCATGCCTTTAATCCAATCAGGGTCTTCTGGAAAAGCAGCCAGCGCTCTTAACCACCAAGCTCTCTCTCCAGTCTCTGCTCCTGGACTTTTTGTTGTTGTTGTTGTTGGTTTTGGTTTATTGAGACAGGCTTTCTCTGTAGCTTTAGATCCTATCCTAGAACTCACTCTGTAGACCAGGCTGGCCTTGAACTCATAGAGCTCTGCCTCTGCCTCCCGAGTATTGGGATTAAATGTATGAGCCACCACTTGGCTAAATTTTTAAAATTCTTTTAAAAGGGTGATCTGGGCTTGCCAATGAGAGAAAAGCCAGTCAGAGGCCTGAGGTACCCTGGTGAATTGTCACAGTTCCTTCTCTTACCTTCTGCCTTCCCTCCCTTTCTGTCACCTCATTTAGCCTCCTTGGTGGAGCTTTCTCAATGAATAAAGCCTTGAAACTGTGCCAACCCGGATCCTCTGCCAAAAGAGCCAGAAGTTCTATTACATTGGGGAGACTGCTTGCCCCTTGGCACTGGCTCGTGCCAGGGCATGTGGATGTGCATTTTCCTGCCTCCCTCGGTCTTTAGAAATGATCCTTCCACTGCCCACCTCAATCACTCTCTTCTCCAATCCCTTCCCCTCAGAAGACATCATCCTCAGAGTCCAAAGCCCACCTCTAAGGCAAGCTGAATGAATGCAGTTCTTAACTTGTCCTGGGGAGCCAGACGTGCTGGTCCATGCCTTACACCCAGCACCTAATAAGCCGAGTCAGAACTGTCACAAGTTCAAGTCACTTTGGACTTACATAATGAGACACCCCCCCTTAAGTAATTTATTTTTATTTTACGTGCATTGATGTTTTGCCTGCATGTTGGATTCCCTGGAAGTGAATATGTGGGTACAGGGAATTGAACCTGGGTCCTCTGGGAGAGCACCCAGTGTTCTTAACTGCTGAGCCATCTTTCCAGTCCATGACATACCACATTGAACCACCACCACCACCCCTTAGAAAATAAATAAAAGGGCTGGGGAGATGGCTCAGCAAGTAAGGGTACCAACCTTGCAAGCCCTGATGGCATGAGTTAGAACCCAGAAGGCTTGTAAAAAAGTGAACACAGTGGCATGATTCTGCAGTCCCAGCATCCCACGCCAAGATGGGAGGTGGGGACATGAGAACAGTCCAGAAGCTCATAAGCCAGCTAGCCTTTACACAGCAGACACACACACACACACACACACACACACACACAGGACATGAGAACAGTCCAGAAGCTCATAAGCCAGCTAGCCTCTACACAGCAGACACACACACAGACACACACACACACACACACACACACACACTTTGTTGTTCTGGAGCTGCACATACAGTTCTAGAAGACCGAAGAGCCCAAGGCTTTGGCTCCACATGCTGAGGGTCGGGTGCACGTTGGTTAGGAGAGACTGTTTGACCATATTGTGCCCTGGTGGACTGGCTCATCTATGTCACAAGTCCCTGAACGAAGCTTGGGTGCTGCTGTGCCGTTGCCAGGCTTTCCTCCTCACACCTTGGGTCAGTTTTCGGTTACTGTCTGGAGGTTTGGACTCCGAGGAATGCTCAGCTAACAAACTCCCCTGGAAGTTCACCGACAATGAGGTACCTGAATTGGCCACAGGATGATGTTCATGTCCCCGTGGACACCGTGAAGAGAGTACATGGAGCCGCTGCCCCCAGTGGTGATGGAAAGCAAGGTCTTCTTATTCTGAAAGAAAACAAGAGTCATCCTCTCCTCTCCTGGGCCCCAGTGAGTTAATGAATGGCTCCAGGGAGAGTTCATCCTATTGTTCAGCTCCTCTGCAGCCTCAGTGTGACTCTGCACATCTTCCAACTGCAGCTGTGACTAGCATGTGGCTGCGGATAGCCACGACTGCAGCCCAAATCACCAGCTCATTTAAACATTAGGAGATGGCCTGGCATGGTGGCAGACACCTGTTATCCCAGCACCCAGGAGGCAGGTGGGTCTCTGAGTCCCAGGCCAATCTTGTCTACAAAGGGAGATCCTGTGTCTTGTTGTTGTTGTTGTTTTTAATTTAGATTTAAAAAAAAAATCAAAGGTGTTTCTTGCCACTATTTGGCCTCCAAACAACAAAGTTTTTGTTGTTGTTGTTGTCTTATTTTTTTTTCCAGGCAGAATCTCATGTATGCCGGGCTGACCTAAAACTCTCTATTTGGCTGAAGATGACCTTGAACTCCTGATCTTCCAGCCTCTACCTCCCAAATGGGATTTTAGGTGTCTGCCACCATGTCAGTAAAAATTTTCATTTGATTTTTACTATGGAAAATCTCAAACATGAAGAGAATAGTCCAACGAAGTATCCACCAAACATCTTAAAGTCTAGTTTCGTCTATCCTTTGACACTCACTAATCCCAACACTCACTTTTTCGTTTTTTTCTGGAATACTTTGCAACAAAGACTGGTGAGCTAGCTTAGCAGGTAAAGGTGCCTGTCACCAAGACTGACAACCTGAGTCTTATCTGCCAATCTGCAAGTTCAATCAATCAATCAATCAATCAATCAATCAATCAATCAATCGGGGACTGAAGAGATGGTTTAGGAGTTAAGAGTACTTGCTGCTCTCCGTCCAAGTCAGGTTCAATTCCCAGCACCCACATGGGGATCTGATGCCCTTTTCTGGACTCCTTGGGCACTGTACACATGCAGTACACAGACATACAAACAGGCATAATGCCCTTATACATAAAATAATATGTAAGTGAATGAAAAAAAATCAAACAAATGCAAAACATCATACATTTGATTGACAAGAGCTGTACAATGCATCCCTCCCTGGTCTTAAGAGTCCAGGGCAGAATCTACCAGGAAATGCCCAAAAGTTCACCTACCTTGAAAGGGCCCTTGTCATACATGGTGGCATATGTATAGGCAAATTCTGCAACAAGTATTCGCTCAAACCAACCTTTCAGAATGGCGGGCACTCCAAACCATTGCAGTGGGAACTGTGGGACAGAAGACAGACAAGATTTCAGCTCAGGGCACTCCCCCTGCTGGTCCTTTCCCCCTGTGGCCAGGAAAAAATTGTTCTTTGCCTTTGCCATTCCCTCAGAAAAAGTTAGCACATTTAGCAACCAGGGGATGTGCCTTGCTCCCTTAGTATGAACTACTTGGTAAGGCTGGAGCTGCAGGATTACTGAATTCCAAGCTACATACCAACATCTTCTGAAAAGAGCAAGAAAAGAAGAACAGTAATAGGCCATGGTGGCAAACACACACAATCCCAGCAACTCTGGGAGCTGAGGCTGAAAGATTTTGAGTTCAAGGCTAGCCCAGGCAGCATAGTGAGACTCTGTCCTAGCACTTGGGAGGCAGAGGCAGGTTGCTTTCTCTGAGTTTGAGGCCAGCCTAGTCAACATATTTAGTACCAGGTCAGCCAAAAATATACAGAGAGACCCAGTCTCAAAAAAAGAAACACGACAGATGGTTTACAGGTTGAGTCCATACTTCTCTTCCAGATGACCTAGGTCAGCCCTAGCATCTAATTCCATGGGATCCAATATCCACTTCTGGTCTTTCCACAAGCACCTACATCTACATACACATGCCCATCACAGACGCACAGCCTACATAATTTAAAAAATATATTTTCCTGACATGGTGGAACACACCTTCAAACCCAGCTCTGTGAATTCTACGACAGCTTGTTCAGCATAATGATCCCAAGCCAGTCAGGGCGACACAGAGACCCTGTCTGTCTCCAAACAAACAAAAACTCAACAAAAAACTCAAGAAAAATATATGGTAGTACCTAACTCAATAGGAGAAAATTCTATCCTTGATCTTGGCTCTCTCTCTCTCTCTGTCTCTCTCTCTCTCTCTGTCTCTCTCTCTCTTCCTCCTAAAAACTATAACCATTGGCTAGGCGTGAATAAAGTCATATGCAAATAAGATCTATTTCCATGAAATCCATTTGGTGGCAAAGTCCAAGTAGCAAGGACTGCAGGTGGGTTTGCCTCTGAGAGCATTACTGAATATTTTCCCAAGAGCTTGTGTTAGCAGGCATCCTCCCAAGACGTGCCTCCCTTGTGTACACAGATCTACAGTCCCATCATCTAGAATAAACAAAGCCACTCAGAATGCAGATCACTGGCTGCTGTGACTAAGGTTTATCAGGTGCCCCATGAGGAAGTCTTATCTGGGCTACTGTTCAGTGGCAGAGCACTGGCCTAGCAAGCAGGCATGAGGTCCTGGTGTTCATCCTCCGCATCTCAAAACTGTATCTATCTGCCTTCTGTTCTCAATAAAAGCAGCGGAGAGCCTGCTCCAGTCTTCACTCTCCTCAAAAATGTGGTTCAATACTCATGAACACATTCAGGAAGAAAACCAGGACAAAGAATTTATAGGGCTTGGAGACATGGTTCAGTCAGTAAAGAGCTGGTCTCACCAGTATGAGTGCCTGAGTTCGACTCCCAAGCACCCATGTGAGAAGTTGGGTATGGCCCATAGCATGCTTCTAATCCCAGTAACAGAAGTGGGTAGGTACAGATAGGTGGATTCCTGGGGCTCTCTAGCCAGCTAGCCTAGCTGCATTGCTGAGCTCCAGGCCTACATGTCTCACTCAAAACAGATGGTTGGTATTTCATCTTTTGGCCTGTGCATGCACGCAAATATAATTTAGATAAATAGACAAAGTGCAGGCAGTTCAGCTACCCATTATCTGTGAACCTATGCAATGGCACACCCGACGAACATTATTTATTCAGACAGAATGCAGAAAGTGTCAGGTCTAGGGCAATAAGAACAAACACCCCAGACATCGCTTTCTTATGATTTCTGTCCTGGCCATACCTGAAATATCACGAGGTCTGCAGCTTCGAGCTTTTTCTGTTCAGCCACGATATCTGGGCTCAGGCGGCCTTCCTTATATGCTAGCGTTGACTCAGAAGTGTACTGAAAGTTCTCAGAGTCCTTCAGCTTACCTGTTGGGAGGAAAGGAGGGCTGAGGCTGGGCCATAGGGTCCACTGTTGATAGAGAGACAATTCTTACCTGTGATATCCTTTCTGGAAATGATAGGGTTAAAGTCCATAGCATAGAGGTCAGATTCATCCACCTCCCATCCTTTCCTCTTTAGAGCCTCTACAGCAGCCTCCTTCATGGCGTAGTTGAATGATGTCCTCTCTGAATGGGCCAGTACAATCAGGGCTCTTCTCACTGTTCCGATACAAGAAGGTGAGACGTGGAAGGAAAATCTAAAGCTGAATGAGTCTCTCATCTAAAATGCTTTGGGTCAGACATGTTTCCACCACAGTTTTTCAGACAGGGGAATAGTGGCTAAGATTATCAATTAAATAGCTCTAATCTGAAAATCTGAAGTTTGGGCTGGTGAGATGGCTCAGCAGGTCTGTGCTTGCTGCCAAGCCTGATGACCTGAGGCAATACCCAGGATCTACGTGGTGGAAGGAGGGAACAGGCCTCTGAGGTTATCCTGACCTCCACATGGGCTATGTACACACACACACACACACACACACACACACACACACACACACACAAAAAAAATGTAATTTATTCATTTTTTTTAAAAGCTGAAGGCCAGAGGGCTCCAAAATCCAAAATATTTTGAATATCAAGTCAACACCCAAGAAAAATTCCCAAAAAAGCCAGTTGTGGTGGCACACCCCTTTAATTCCAGCACTAAGAAGGCAGAGGCAAGTGAATCTCTGAGATTGAGGCCAGCTGTGACTAAATAGTGAGACCCTGCCCCCCAAAATTGTTCATTTATTTTTATTTTTTGCAGCTGAGGGTGAGGACACACACACATGCATACACACATACAGCAGACACACAGAAGAAAGGAGGATGTGCGTGAGAGTAACTCATGGCAGAATGCTTGCCTAGCATCCTTAATACCATCAAAACCACTTTGGATTTTAGATAATGAGTTTCTGATTTTAGGTTTTCCATCTGTACCAACCAGCAAAGCAAAGCTTCAGGAGCTGGGGAGGCAAGGATCATACGGGAAGAAGTGATAGCTGGTAGCTGTCTTAGCTCACTTACCCTCTTATAATTCTACTGCTGTGAAGAGACACCATATCCAAGGCAACTCTTATAAAAGAAAGCATTTCACTATGGGTTGGCTTACAGTTTCAAAAGGTTATTCTATCATCATCGTCATAGTGGGGGACAGTGGCATTCATGGCACTGGAGGAGTAGCTGAGACCCACATCCTGATCCACAGGAAGAAAGGGCAACACAGGGCCTTTGAAACCTCGAAGCCCACCCCTCAGTGACACACTTCCTCTAACAAGGCCACGCCTCCTGATTCTTCTAATCCTTTCAAATGGTGACTAAGCATTCCAATGTATGAGCCTATGGGGGCCATTCTTATTCAACCATCCCACACTTACTGTTGCTATAACAATACCACAGACTACATGGCTTTATAATGAATTAAACATGAAGGCTTATTTGGTTCATAGCACTAGAGGTTGGGAGGAGGCTGCACCTGGCGAGGGTCCTTCTCGCTGGTGGAAACTCTGCAGAGTCCTATAACAGTGCTGAGTAGCACATAGCAAGAGGGACAGACTCCAGACGGAGCCACACTGCTTCTTACAACATCCTCACTCTAAAACAATCTCACCACATACAAATCCACAGATCTGACAATAGCTTAGACCATTTCTGAGGGCCATTGTGACCCAATCACCTCTCACCCCTATGAGTGAGGGCTTCATGTAGCCCAAGCTAGCTTCAAACCAACTGTGTAGTATAGAATGACCTTGAACCCTTGGCTCTCCAACTTCTACCTCCCAAATTCTGGGACCTCCATGTGATCAAAATTCCGGGGGGTGTGTGTGTGCGTGTGTTTACTCATATGTGTGTATGTATGTACATGTAGAGTCTAGAGGACAACTTTGGGTGTCATTCCTCATGCAACTTCTACCCTGTTTGAGACATGGTCTCCCACTAACCAGAAAGTTACCAAGTAGGCCAGGCTGGCTGCCAGCAAGCCCCAGGGACTTTCCTGCGAGTATAAGTACATACTCCTATACCTGGCCTTGTTTTTAAAACACAGGTTCTAGAGATCTGAACTCATAGACTGAGCCATTGAAATTGTAATGTTATGTTCACTGCAGCCATCAAAAAAAGAACCAATGAATGAGGCTAGGCATGTGATTGAGTTGAGTATGAGTTTTGCATTCTTTGGTTCTGGCTTCAATTTGTTATGGTTTGAAGATGAAATGCCTCCCCCCCCCAGCTAGGTTTAGTTAGTCATGTCTGTAAAGCCAAGACTTGAGAGGCGGGAGCAGGAGGATAATAGGTTCTGGCTAACCTAAGAGCCAAGGCTGACCCTGTGTTTAAAGATAAAAAGTCCCTTCAGGCTCAAGGATTGAACACTTACTTAGTTCCTAACCCCTGGTGCTACTTTAGAGTGGGGCTGGCTGGAGGGAGGGAGTCTCTCCAGGCCTCTGAAGATTAGATCTGGCCCTCTGGGTGTTCTCTCCCTGTGTGCCATGAGAGCTTCTACCACAAATTCCTGGCTCCCTCTGGTCACAGCTATGAAAAGTAACTAATAAAAATGGAGAAAAGGCTGGGAAGATGGCTCAGTAAGAAAGCTGTCAAAGCCTGGTGACCAGGAGATGATCCTCAGAACTCAGGTAACGGTGGGAAAAAACAACTGACAGTGTTGTTCTCTGAAGTTCATTCATACCTGTGACATGGCACTCACACACATGCACGCACGCATGCACGCACACACATGCACCAGTCTAATAATAACAAATAAGATACATTTCAAAAATAAAAATAAAGCCAAGCAGTGGTGGCACTTGCCTTTAATCCCAGCAGTCAGGAAGTAGAGGCAGGTGGATCTCTGTGAATTTGAGGCCAGCCTGGTCTACAGAGCAAGTGCCAGGACAGCCAGGGCTGTTACACAAAGAAACCCTGTCTCGAAAAACCAAAACATAAATAAAGTGAAAATAAAATGAAAGGAAAGGATGGAGGGAGAACAAGGAAAATATTCTGAGTCAGTGAGAAATTAATGTTGGCATATTTAATTGGCCACCTACATGAAAATAAAATGACCTCTATGGAAAATCAGTATAATGGTACCCTTGTCATTATGGTGATTAGGTTACAAAAGGGCCCTCTGAGTGCTGTCAGCGTTGTTTCTTGGGCTGGTGTTAAATAACTAATTTTTAAGGATTTATTTTTATTTTCTTGAGTCATTTGTATGCAAATACCCCTGGAGACCACAAGGGGAGCACTGAGTTCTCGGGAGCTGGAGTTATGGGTATTTGTAGGGTGCCCAGCCTGTTAGATGGGTGCTCAATACTCTTAACCAAATCATCTCTTCAGCCCCGAGTTTTGTTTGAGTTATTCCACAGACGAAAATAAATTCCAGGGTGATTAAAGACTTAAATGTTTGTTTGTTTTGCAGCTGAGCTCTGAAACACAGCAGGAATTACGGGCAGCACTGCTTGCTCAACTTCTGCTTAGTCTTGGGTCTCCCTGCAGCACACAGATCTAATGGCTCATCTACTTTCTGTCAGGTCCTGCGAATCAAACCTGGAGCCTCACACCCATGAGCCAGCCTCGCAGCCACAGCACGGTTTTGTCAATGCCCCTTGTTCCTGCCTCTGGCACGCTGCCAAGAAACAGATGGGTTCATTATTCCATGAACCCCGAACCCTGGAGACTCTTGCTCCACCCCCTGCACCCGTGTTTGATTTCACTCCATTAACCCCCTGAAATGCTCATGTCATCCGTGCCACATTGTTAACTGGGTATCTATTAGGTGTCACAGGGGCTAAGCACTTGGGATACATTACAGTGGAATCTAAAGTTTATAAAAAGTAATGTTTGGCCAGGTGTGGTGGTGAAAGCCTTTAATCCCAGCACTTGGGAGGCAGAATTCTGTGAGTTTGAGACCAGCCTGGTTGACATAGTGAATTCCAGGACAGCCAGAGCTACATAGAGAGAGACCCTGACACATGGGAAAAAATAGAATTACTTTTAAAAATCACATTTAATTTCTTTAATCTATTGATTTTATAGGTGTGGGAGTTTTGTTTGCATGTTTGTCTGTGCAGCATATGCACACCCAGAACCCTCAGAGGGACTGGAGCTACAAACAGTTTTGAACTCCCGTGTGGGTGCTGGGGATGGGGCCCAGACCTCCTACAAGAGCAGCTAGTGCCCATAACCAATGAACCACTTCTCCAGGCCTATATTTGTCTGGTGTGTGTGTGTGTGTGTGTGTGTGTGAACAAGGTTTCACTATGTGACCTTGGCTGCCCTGGAGCTTATCATGTAGACCAGACTGGTTCCAAGCTTGTGGAAAAGTGTTTTAATGGTGATATTGTAGCAGTAAAAGATTTACTACCCACATGATCTGTCTGGTAAAAGACTACAGCAAGCCAATTGAAACATAGGAGAGCCACGCTGCTACTTTCCCTGCAATCTGCTGTTAGTGGAAAACAAATGTCCTGCACATTCCAGTCAATCTCAAGACTGAGTTACGGAGCACACATAAAACTAGTTATATTGCTCATTTCTGTATTGTCAGCATCTGGGAAGCTGAGGCAGGAGGACTGCCATGAGTTCCAGGACAGTCTCAGCTGCAGTGTAAGACCCTCTTTCAAAAACAATATTCAAATGTTCCCATTCTCCACAATAACCCTCATTTCATATGTACACACAAACACACCATGTTCTGTAAGATGGTATATTTTTTTTTTTTATTCTTGAGATGAGAGTTGTAACCCAGGCCGGCCTTGAACTCAATATATAGTGAGTTCCAAAGACAGTTTGAATTTCAGATTCTCCTACCTCTCCCTCATAAACACTGGGGATTATGGGTGTGTACTATCGTGCCCAGCTATGATATGTATGTATGTATGTATGTATGTATGTATGTATGTATGTATGTATATATGTATGTTTGTATTTTGAGTCAGTGTTTCTCTGTGTAGCCCTAGCTGTCCTGGAACTCGCTCTGTCAACTAGTCTGGTCTTGAACTCAGAGATTTGCCTGCTTCTGCCTGGCAAATGCTAGGATTAAAGACATATGCCACCATTGCCTGGTTGTTATTTTAATTTTTTTTTTCTTTTTCTTTCTTTTTTTTTTTTTTTTTTTTTTTTTTTTTGCTTTTCAAGACAGGGTTTGTCTGTGTAGCCCTAGCTGTCCTAGAACTCAATTTATAGATCAGGCTAGCCTTGAACTCTGAGATTTTCCTGCCTCCCAAGTACTGGGGTTAAAGGCCTGTGCCACTACCACCACCACTGCCCAGCTGAAATTATTTTTTAAAAGATGTATGTTAAATCATGATTATATGTGTAGGATTGCTTGTGCACACAGGAGTATGAGAGGACATTTGCTCCCCTGGAGGTAGAGTTACAGGTAATTGTTGTCAGGCCCAAAGGGAACTCCAAATCCTCAAACTCCAAAGGCAGTCAAGTAGGAGGGTTTCTGGTGGTTAGATAAAAGTCAGCATCCCTCGGGAACTTGTGGAAGTGATTTGCATCTGCGGGAAGGAGTCATGTATACATCTCCCTTTCCTCTGGCAAAAGGGACACGTGGCTGCCTGTGGCACCTATCAGCATATGTGTGGCACTTAACAGCATGCTTGGCCTCTAGGCTCCCTCAGTATCTCAAGTCCCTCCCTGTTGAACATTTCAAAGTCGATCCTAGCCCTTTTCCGGGCCTCGCTCACCCTCCCCTGCAGCTTTCGGTCCCCTTTACCAGCCTGCCCTTCTCAATGCGGTTTCTCTATTTCTCTCCCCTGCTGTTCTCCCTGCTCTCACAGATTGCCCGATCATGTTCAGTCTACTTCTTTTTCTCTCTGTTCTGGACTCTTCCAGATGCCTTTGGCTGTTCTCTCATATTTACAACAATTAAAACAGCAGCAGCAGCAACAACAAAAAAACCAAACAACAACAAAAAACAAAAACAAAACAAACCCTTCCCCTTAACCATAACCTGACAGCCAAACTAATTACAGCACTCACCAGTTCCTAGATTTTCGAGCAGCCAAACACAGGTTCTAGACTCAAACGTGTGTCCTCTGCAAGAGCAGCAAGTACTCCTAACCACTGAGCTATCTCTCTATGCCTAGAAAATTTTCTAGTTCTAATTGGAGGAGAAGGTGCCAGCACTTCAGGGGGTAGTTCTAGAGTCAAATGCAATAGTGCCCTCCCCCACTGTAGTTTTACTTGCCCTGGTTTCAGCTACCTGTGGTCAACAGGTTTAAAAATATCAAGTTGAAAATTCCAGAAAAAAATTTTTTTTTTTCCAAGACAGGTTTTCTCTGTATTGCCTTGGAGCCTGTCCTGGAACTCTCTCTGTAGACCAGGCTGGCCTTGAACTCACAGAGATCCACCTGCCTCTCCTCTGGAGTGCTGGGATTGAAGGTGTACTAATTCATATTTTAAAAGCCATGTGTGCTGGTTAGTTTGTGTCAACTTGACACAAACTAGACCACCTGGAAGGAGAGAATTTCAACTGGAAAACTTCCTCCCTCAGCCTGGCCTGGAGGTATGCTTATGGGACATATTCTTGATTTATGATTGATCTAGCATCTCCCAGCCCACAGTGGGTGGTGCCACCCCTTTGCAGGTGGTACAGATTTCTGTAGAGAGTGGGCTGAGCAATCCTAAAAGCGTTCCTCCAGGGCCTCTGCTTCAGCTCCTACCTCCAGGTTCCTGCCCTGACTTCCCTCCTCAGTGATGGATTGTTAGCTGGAATTGTAAGTAAGCTGAAATAAATTAACCCTTTCCTCCCCAAGTTGCTTTTGGTCAGTATTTTATCACAGCAACAAAAAAAACCAGGATGCCTGTATTACAACCTATTTTCATCATCACTCTTCTGTTTTATTTTTATTTTTGTTAATCTCCTACTCTAATTTACAAATTAAATTTAGCTATGCATGGTGGCACCCACATGTAATCCCAGCACTTGGGAGAGAGGCAAGAGGACCCAGAATTCAAGGTCAGCCTAGACCAAATTGAGTTAGAATCTAGTCTGGCCAGAATGAACAAATGGGTGAATGAATAAACAAACATTAAAGCGAATCACAGGCATGGGGTATAAGATAACATGCATGGCACTTTGATGTCTGCGGTTCTAATGGAGGGGCTTGAACGTTTATCCCTCATGGATAAATGCAGACTAGTACGCAAAGGGAAAACAGCAGATGTAGCTTTACCAGCTGTTGAAAACTCTTCCCTGCTGTCTCTCCCGGCCACTCATGGTAGAGCTTTCCTAGAAACTGCAACGGTACCAACGGAAGCATCAGCCTCATCCCTGGCATGCTTATAGCAAAGTAAAGTTCTGAGTGCATTTGTGGAGGCTGCAGTAGTTTTAGAAGGAAAAGAACTGCATACAAAAAGGTAAAATTCTACACCAACTGTGGAAATGCTGCCCAAACTCAGAGCCAGCCCCTGTGGGGAAGCACTTAGCCCTGGACGCTGGCTGCTCAGGAAAGCAGTAGATGCCAGTTAGGTACCAGACAAGTGCAGTGCCGACCTCCAGGGACCCCTCTCACACTTACCCCTGGGATGATGGCAAAGTGGGAAGACTGTCACAAAAATAGACCAAATGGCAAACCAGATTCCCCCACCAAGTTCACTGTGAAAACTCTCCAGGGCCAAGCAGGGCCCCAGTTCTATTACCCTGCTTTCCAGCTCCGGCCAGTCCTCCATCTCCACATTTTCCTGTTTTCTTCCAGAAGTTGACCAACCCCCCCACCCCACCCCCAGTTTTTTGAGACAGTCTCTCCACTATGTAGCTCTGGCTATCCTGGAACTCACTAAGTAGATCAGGCTGTCCTCAAACTTAAAGAGATCTGTCTGCCTCTGCTTCCTGAATGCTGGAATTAAAGGTGTGTGCCAAGCTCAGCAAGAGCCCCTATAAATTGCCTCTTCATTTTTAAATGTTAGCAACTCTTTCCTAAATGCTTAAGTACTTTCTGGCCTAGGCTGTGGATCCCCACAGAACTCGGGTGGTGGAGTGCTATCCTAGGACGCAAACTGAATTCTGGTTTCGATTCGGATCCCAGGGCCATATAAGCCAGGTGTGGCGATGCACATCTACAATCCTGGTATGCAGGCAGTGGAGGCAAGAGGCCAGCCTTCGTTATGCAGCAGTTTTAAGGCCAACCTGGGATACATGAGGCCCTATCTCTAAATAGGCCAAATAAGGTGCGAGAGTGCCTCTGTTAGGGAAGGGATGTTGAAGGGACAATACTCCAGTTGCCCTCAGGTGAGAGTGGGCTGCAGAATAACCGGTGCTTTTGGCTAAGAACAGAAGCTTCCCTTCCAGAGACTATTCAAGAGATTAGTCAAGGCTCATCCAGAACCCTAATCACTTTACTTTTCCTCTTTGAAGCAAGTAACAAAACTCATAGCAAGCCCCTTCACTCATAGCAAGCCCCTTCACTCATAGCAAGCCCCTTCACTCATAGCGGCCGGCCATACTCACCAGCCATGGCTCCAGATGTTGAAGGCGGATCACAGTACAAGGTGCTGATTGGCTGAGCAGCTGGTTGCCAGGACGACCCTGCAGAGTTACTGAGAGAGCTTTGGACTGCAGTCTGGATTAGTGTAAACCGGGCCAGCCGAGCACTTGGAGGCTTTATACCCTCTTACTCTGGCAGCCAGCGAAGGCGGAGCTGGATTCCCACGCCCAGAATCGCAGGGCGGAGGATACCAAGTTACTAGAAGAGAGAAACAGTTTAGGACTGGAATAGGATTCCTGCGTATGGATACATATGGGGTAAATTCAACTGCCCCATGCCCGAGACCTCCTGGGTACAAAATAGAAATTTCCAACAGAAATTGCCCGAGCTTTTGTTGGACCTGCCTGTATATATGACCGGTGTGGATTAGTATTTGCTCAGTCCTGGGAAGTCTCACACAAAGGGAAGGGTGGGGCTGGCAAAGTACTGGATCAGATTTTGCCTAGTCATAGTGACTCCAGACTGAGCTCTCAGAGAGACTAGGCATGTGAATGGCTCCCTCCCCCCCCCAGCGTTCTGGTTCTGTTCTTCTGTTCTTAGAAACTCCTCAAAGCCTGGTGGTGGTGGCACAGGCCTTTAATCCCAGCACTTGGAGGCAGAGACAGGCGGATCTCAGTGGGTTCGATGTCATCCTGATCTACAAAGCAAGTGCCAGGACAGCCAGGACTGCCTGGAAAAAACAACAATGAGAGCTAGAGAGCGCGAGCAAGAGCGAGAGAGCACGAGAGAGAGAGAGAGAGAGAGAGAGAGAGAGAGAGAGAGAGAGAGAGAGAGAGAGAGAGAGAGAGAGAGAGAGAGAGAGAGAGAGAGAAGAAACTCAGCAAAAGCTGTCCCCCTGGTGTGTACCTCTGGGTCTCCTCAATTCTGTCTCTCCCCTCCCGCCCCCCTTCCCCGCTGACAGGTAACCAAGAACTGTGCCACTCCAAGAAGCTGAGGCTGCTGCAGGAGACAGAAGCCATGAAGGAGTATTTCTAAAGTCAGACAGATGAAATTCAATAACTTTACACAAAGATTTACATCAGAACATAGAACAAAAAGGGTTTAAATCTCCATAAGTAAAAGTTATGATTTTCGGGCTTGCTGCTGCATGTCCTTAATCCCAGCAGACAGGAGTCAGAGGCAGGCGGATCTCTGTGAGTTCAAGGCCAACCTGATCTACATGGTGAGTTTCAGAAGAGTCAAGGCTCCTGCCCCAAACAAAAACCCAAAATGGTGAGCTCCTGTCCCGAACAAAAACCCAAAATGAAGTGGTAAAGTCATTCTACAGAACAAAAGGGAGATGAACTCTCAGGAAGTCAAGTAAAGGGGACTGGAAAAAAACTCTGCTGTGAAGTGAACGCTGCTTTTCCAGGGGACCCTTTGATTCCCAACACCTAACGGGGCCACCCACAACCAGTTGTAACTCAGCTTCAGGGAACCCAGTGTCTTAGTCTCGAACCTTGGACCTAACAGAGCTGGCCTCCTAGCTAACTGAGGTGCCTGCCCATTTAACAAATCAAAGCAGTCCTGGCCACCAGGTTCTCCTGGCATCCCTCAGACTGGCATAACTTGCCCCCTCCCCTAAAAACTTCAGCCCAGGGGCTGGCTGTCCTTACCCCAGAGGTTCTTCCCATATAATCCAGCTATTTTGGCCACACTGGTCCCCTTTACCCTCCTGGCCTCTTAGCCTCCTGGTGTCCTGGCTCTCTATTCTCCCCTACCCGCTCCCCTCAATGGGTAGGTTCAGGGTCCCGTTCATTCTGGACTCTTCCAGATGTCTCTGCCTCTGGCTGTACTCTCCCTTTTATCTACAGTGAACCTTCTTCTCTGCCATACCTAGGAGCAGCCATGTCTCTTTTCCTTTCTTTTCTTGTTCAGGGTCAGGAGTTGAAGTCATCGTCAGTGTTGAGATCAGGTCATGCTCTGCTACATGTCTCACTCCATGTTGTAGAAAGCAGTGAACTTCAGGCGGTGTCCTGCCTTAATAGACTCCATTTTACAAGGACCTAGAAACTGTGTTACACCGTCCAATGAGCACAGACTATAAATGATTGACTCCTGAGAATAGAAAGGACACATCCTTAGGTTCATTGAGGAGACTTGAAACTGTGAGGTCCCATGATAGAGCAGGAGAAGAGGTTCTTGTGCTGACAGATAAGCACTAGGGGAGCCAGGGATGTCAGACACACAGGGTTGTTCCTTCAAAGGGACAGGTGTATAGCCTGTTTTCTGCCCAGAAGGCTGGGAATAGATGTGGCTAATAGCCTGATGACCTTTGGGATATCTATGTGTCTGAGACCACGCCAGATCCTCCCCAACCCTGATCTCCAACCTGTTTCCTCAGTTAATCTGTAGAACCCACCTTTAAGGATGATGTCACTTGTACTTTACAAAGAATTTTGATGTAGTCATGGCTCAGCTTTGTTGTGCTCATGGGATTGAGCAAATTATCACCGGGAAGCTTTTCACCCAATTGTGATGTGCTTAAATATGCCTAAAAGAAACTACTTGACATCAGACTTGAAGTCTGAACCACCATTGGATTGTTACTCTGTTAACTGTGGTGTTTGTAGAGATCTTTGCTTAGCTACTGGCAGAGTAGAGCCAGTGAAGCTATATGAGACATTGTTTCAAAAAGCAAAAATTAGGAGCTCCAGGTATAGCTGCATCTGTATAAGTTCTCAGCTTCCTGACTGTGGATGCCATGGGACCAGATGTCTTGAGCTCCTGCTGCCATGACTGTTTTGCCATGACAGACTCTACCCTCAAACTGTGAGCTAGAGTAACTGCCTCAAGTCACTTTTGGCCCAGAAACAGGCAAATAACTAACACACTTCAGTACAATGTTAAACACTGGGTTTTCCAGTATTTCCTTACATTTTGTGGCTGAGGGCAATTGTTGCCTTGTGGTATGGTTCAGGTGTAGACAAATGCCAGCCTAAGGACCACAGCTCTCATCCTGAAAGGAATATGAGATAGTATATTCTGGAGCCATGTTGAGTGAGCACTACCTGGGAACACAAGTTTAGGTTACTAAAAATTCCACGTTCCAATGTGCAAACAATTTCACAGGAATTTTACAGTTTTACAGCACAAAGAAAGTCATAAGTCAAGACATCTTTAAAATACATTTGTGGGCCAGGCAATGGTGGTGCATGCTTTACTGCCAGCACTCAGGAGGCAGAGGCAGGCAGACCTCTGTGAGTTTGATGTCAGCCTGGTCTACAGAGTGAATTTTAGGAAGCCAAGGTTACATAGAGAAACCCTGACTCTTTTGAAATGCAATAGGAGAAACAAGCAAGGAAGGAAGGAGGAATGAGGAAGGAGGAAGGAGGAAGAGGGAAGGAGGAAGGAAGGAACTAAGTAAGGTACAGACGGGACAAGAAATGGCTAAAGAAGCTAAAACTAGCTTCTAAACATGTATTACAGTCTCTCCACAGTACTGAAATTCCAACTGGTCCATGAGCCTCTGCAGTCACAGCACAGACTCTGTTCAGGAGGTGCTGTTGTTGCTGTTCACAGCCAGACAGCTTCTTTGCAGGCATTTTGTTCATACAAACTATGTGAACTATTTACTTCACAATAAAAAATAAGTTAAACCAGTTATGGGAAATTATACCTGGAATACCAGCACACAGGAAGTAGAGGCAGGAGGATTCCCATGAGTTTGGTGCCAGCTTGGGCTATATAGCAAGTACAACTGATAGCCATGCGCACAATACACATAGGAACACATACACATATACATACACACATGTAATAATAATTATGAAAAGAATTCTCAAGGCACTGAGGTTCAAGAACTAGGAGAAAAGTTAGGAGGCTCAGAGGTTTCCGGTCATTCTTGGCTACACAGGGAATTTGAGGTCTGCCTTGGCTACATAAGACTCTGTACCCTCATGTTTTGGGGAGGTAACATTGATCTTTTTCCATGACTCAGGGTTGCTTCACGGAGTCCATCTCCCATCTTCTGAGAATTTCCTTTGGTGGATGTAAGCTGCTTTTCCTCCCCTATCAGTACCAAGGTCTGTGCCATCCTTGTTCTTCCTTACCAACCGTCTCTCATCTGCTTTGACTCGGTGCTGGGACTAAGATGTGAAAATGTATACAAATGTTTTCGTCTTCTTTTTAAAGCAGGGTATCGAGTAGCTCAGATTCATCTTATTGTATGTCTAGGGATGACCTTGAACTCTGGATCCTCCTGCATTCACTCCCATATAGTGGGATTACAGTGTTGTGTCAACACACCTGGCCTCCCATCCAAATACTAATTCGGCCCACCCATACTTAGTTTATTGGACCAGGTGGTATGGTCATAGTTCAGGAGCCTGGAGTGGGATATGAGGTAGAGAATGAAGCTCCCAGCTTGTAAGAAAGATAAAAATCAATCACTGACATGATTTGCTCCCCCTACCATATATATAATATATATATAACATGTATGTTAATATATATAATATATATATATTTTATATATATATATATATATATATATATATATATATAGAGTCTGAAAGGTAAACCTGGGCTACCAGGCCACACAGTTGGCTCTCTGCCTCTGCTAATTCACTAGCTGAGTTACATTCAGAACATGTTTTGTTGTTGCTTTTACGAGACAGGGTATCTCTATGTAGTCCTGGCTGTCTTGGAATTCACTTTGTACCCCAAGCTGGCCTCCAACTCAGAGATCCACCTGCCTTTGCCTACCAAGAGCTGGGGATAAAGGCGTTAAAAGTGACTCACCTCTTGGTGAGTCAGAACATTTTAAAAAGATTTATTTAATTATGTTTAATTCTCTCCTCCCCAAAGTGTGTGTGTTTCTTATTTGACCTATGTGGATACAATGGTGTCTTTGTGCTGGCATGTGTTCATTTGGTGAATGTGTATGTGAAAAGCATAGGACACCTTAGTGTTTGTTGCTCAGACACATTCACCAAGTTTTTTTGTTTTGTTTTGTTTTGGACCAAGGGTCACTCATTTATGTCAGGTTTGAGTGAATGTGCTAGGGAAGAGCAATGAACAAAGAACTAAAAAAAAAAAAAAAAAACTGCAATGGGCTCTGGCTA